TTAATGTGTTTGAATTAGGATAATTTTTGTCCAATTTTTGTTGTTTGAACTTGGGAAAGGAGATTGTTTGATTTAGGCCTTTGAAGTTAGAATTCAATGGAACATAATTTATCAACAATCGATAATGTAATACTACTGTTTTATTTGGTTATTGATTTTAACCATTCAAGAGCTTCCCACTGAAGGAAGACAGAAAACGACTTCCGTGCCACTAAGGAAACAGTACACACAGAAGCAGCTTCTGTGATTAGTGGTTTGAATCCCATGAGTTCTTCATATAGTTTATGGGGGTAATTGAATTGAATTGGTTTTTGTACATGCATTTGAGACGCGTTGTGTTGGTATTTAGATATCTTGAGAAACCTGTTTGAATCCATCCTCAAGTTATTGGTGAGCAATTGGGTTAGGTGGAGTATTCCACTACATACGAACTCCAACCTAAAGAAATTACTATATCCCATTAAAATAAAAACCATAGAATATCCCACAAAATAAGTATAACAAGATTACATGACATTTTCATTTATCTAATTATTGCAAGTTGTTTTTAATTGTCCTATAACAATTGATCTACCGAATATATGCATTTGGAAGATATAATACACAAATGTATCGTCAAGAACTCAAGACATTAAGTATGACTAACTAAAAATTATTCTGCCTCTGCACTAAAGGGTTAAAAAAGGGGGAAAAAAAAGGGGGGGGGATTTATGTCTTGTTAATTGACCATTATGTAATCAATCAAATTAATGCCCTAAAGTGTCGGAATGAAGATTAATTGTAAGGACGGAGGCAACAATTTCATATCCCCAATGTGTTAGCTTTAGGATAAATTTCTGCTTTCATTGAAGCTAACTAAAAATTATTCTGCCTCTGCACTAAAGGGTTAAAAAAGGGAAAACAAAAGAGGGGGGGGGGGTTATGTCTTGTTAATTGAGCATTATGTAATCAATTAAATTAATGCCCTAAAGTGTGGGAATGAAGATTAATTGTAAGGACGGAGGCAACAATTTCATATCCCCAATGTGTTAGCTTTAGGATAAATTTCTGCTTTCATTAAAGCTAGCAAATAGCAATTCCCTAGGGAATTGGGGATTTCTCTTTAGTTAACTGGTAATAAAAAGTCCACCATGAAATTTTTGTATTGGCACATCAGAATCTGGAAGTGGTGCATTGGTGATTGCTTCCATCTTCCCGTAGTTTCAGGGGGTTGGCTCTCTCTCTCTCTCTCTCTCTCTCTCTCTCTTATATTTTTAATTTCTTGTTGTTGTTATGTCTTTTGGGTTCTCTCTCTCTCTCTCTTAGCTTATACTGTACACATTGACATACATTTTTGGACTTTGCTGGCCTGATCTTGTGTTCCTGCAATAATATTGCTAACTTATTTCTTTATCTAACTTTGCCTTGTTTCAGTGTCACGGCATCGAACTCTAATGAACGTATTTGACAAGAAGCCTTTTGTGAACAAGGAAGCATTTGTTGCACCAAGCGCATCAATCATTGGAGATGTTCAGGTTGGACATTGTTCCTCAATTTGGTATGGATGTGTTTTGAGAGGTAATGCATTGCCATCATGTTTAACCTGTTCATAATTGGCTCAGTTTTGCATGCGTACCCTAGGGTAATATGCCTTATGTGCAGGGATAATGCCCGCTAAGTTACATTGCTAGACTTAGGGGATAGAAAAAGAATTCATTGAGTGAAGAATGTTTTCTGAGCTTTTTAGAAAGGTTAGACCTATGTAGATATGCAGATATCATCAAGATTGCATGGCTGTGTGAGAGGTTTTGTCTTTTCAATGCATCTTGTCTTGAAATGTCAGGAAAAGGGTCCTGATTTAATAATGAAACTGATAATCTCTTTAGCTTTTTATTGGTCTATGAATTAGCTATAAGATGAGCTTATGCTGCTGATGGACAATATGAAGGTTTGGTTATAAGAGTCTATATTTAATACTTCATATAGACTCATCATTTGATTGACAATATGAAACTGATAATCTCTTTCCATGTTCCCCCTCTATATTTAATACTTCATGTCATCTCTTTCATGTCTCTGTCTCATCATTTGAGGAACCACATACACACCAAAATTTATAAATTTCCTGCAATATCTGCTGTTTTCTTTTACTGGCAACTCTTACACGGCTTCAATTTTGTGCAGGTGATGTGAACTACATTAGTATTGGGTCTGGGACTAATATTCAAGATAATTCTCTCATTCATGTGGCAAAAACCAACCAATCCGGGAAAGTATTGCCGACTATTATTGGGGACAATGTTACTGTGGGTCAGTGTTATATAGTATTTGTTTTGCAGATGTATACTTTTATACAGTTTCTGTTGAAGCGACCTAAGTTTGGACTTAACAGGTCATAGTGCGGTATTACATGGCTGCACTGTTGAGGATGAGGCCTTTATTGGTACGGGTGCTACTTTGCTAGATGGTGTTGTAGTTGAGAAGCACGCCATGGTTGCAGCTGGATCTCTTGTACGACAGAATACAAGGATACCTTGTGGGGAGGTTTGTCCTTAACTTAAGCTGCTTTTTATTTTTCTTTTCCGATTTAATCTGTCATGACAATTGTTTGTGGAGGATAAAGCAAATGAATTTACATAGGGTTCCAAAGGAAAAAAGTGGCTTCGAGTGGATAATTAAGAATTAAGGGGTGATTTTTTTTATCTAACCTTTTTTCCTTATGGGCAATTAGTAGAGTAAATGGTACTTTAGGGGTAGGTTTTTTTTTTTCCCCAGTTGTCATTGTTGTTAAATTTTCATTATATATGGTAGCATTCTGGATGGAGTCAAGCTCCAATAATCTGTGCCATGACAATTGTAAGGTACACTCACCACATCATGCGACCCTTTACTTGAGTCCGGGTAGTACTAACACATTTATTAGTGACAAATTGATTTTCTTCAAGGACTCAATTATAAATATTCCCTCCAGAAATTTATTTTTCCTAGGACTCAATTATAGGCCACATCTGATGGGGGACTTTGTTTAAGAAATTGAGTATAATTCCCTACCTATTCATCATTGTTCAAACTTTACACCTCCACCACACCAATGAAATTCTTATTTGATGGAACATTGAGGGTAATATGGGGAAGTACAAAGTTTAACATACTCGTCACGTAAGGACTTGCATGGCCTTGTCGCAAATGTTAACTTTAACTATTTTTTTCACGGGAGTCCTCAGATGGATAAATTAGCTGCTTATATCAGTTTTTCTTTGGAGCTCCTTGTGCAATTGTAAATAGACTGTTGATTTTATTTTGAAACTTGTAAAACAGGTTTGGGCTGGAAACCCTGCAAAATTTTCGAGGAAGCTCACAGAAGAAGAGATGGCTTTCATTTCTCAGTCAGCCAATAATTATTCTAATCTAGCACAGGCTCATGCAGCTGAAAATGAGAAGAGCATTGATGAGGATGAATTCAAAAAGGTGCTTCATAAGAAATACAACCTCAAGAATGAGGAATACAGCTCAATGCTAGATGCTGTTCGCGAAACTTCACCAGAGCTTGTCCCTGACAGCACTGCCAGATAACTCAGCAATAAGGGATTCCTAATTGGGAGCCCTTCCCAGGCTATTTGCCATTTTGGATTATGTTGTTACCAGGTGACTTTTTGGTTATCCCCAATTTTGGGTACTGTCTGCTTTCCTATTTCGAATAGTATAAACATGTTGGCTGATATAATGGCCAAGACACAGCAAATCTTGAGTCTTGCATACCTCAGAATCTTAGGTGTTATGACAATGAACTTAGGTGTCAAATAATCTTCGACCCTTCATAGCTGCCTTTGTTTCATGTATGGCAGAACAAAGAAAACCTGTAATGAGGTCGAGTGTAGCTTTCTTCAATGGTTGATGAAGAAAAATTAGAGGCAGGAAAACATTGAAAAGCATAGTATGGAGAAAACTTTTGCTTTCTTTTTCTTATGCTTACTATTTGTTATTCTCCTTTTGAGTGCAAAAATTAAGATTACTTTTCTCAATTGTGATTTGCATTATTGTGATAAAGTCATCTTTTGTGTGGTGGTGAATAATAACGGGCTTGGTTGCATTTGCATATTACTGCTAGCTTTCGGCTGGATTTGCATATTTTTTTTCATTATGCTTAGTAATATTTTACTGTACTGGAAATGAGTAGTGTAGAGCTTGTAGCTTGTAGGCCACACCCTTATCTCGATTCATTGTTGTCTTACTCCTCACCTTTAGCAGTCAGCACATGGGCTTGATGTACATGGAACAAATTGAACATTCGAGCGTATATTCATTTTGTCCGTTCATGAAACATTTTTTCATGTTTGTTGATGCAAAACTTTAAGCAACTTTTTATAATTATGTTATTGAAGAACTACGGAGTATAAAAAGTTGATATGTTGATTGTTGAATACAAATTGAGATGAGTGGGGGTACTTAATAGATCAACTGATACTCGGCTGAAAGAAGATTACATATGAAGGCAATAGCCCTACCCTACATGGCTACATATGTGCCCTATTATGGACTGTAGGGGTGCACCAAACACCAATTCTTCACATGCACCTTAAATGGCAGCACAGGCAAGATCATAATCTTCAAAGATTCTCTACTTTAGTGCTGATTAAGAATGAGTCACGAGGCATCTTTTAATTAATTAAGTACAAAAGAAGGCAATTATGGAGTTTTTTTTTTCCTAATTTGATATAATTGGAGGCATCTTCCATGCTTAATTTACGGAAAGGCTTGATTAATGGAAGTCCTTTCGATGACAATATGGTCAAGATGAGATAATGCCATTTTTTGGTGTACTGACCCTAAAACATTATCTACCAAATTTGTTGAATTTATTAAAAAATTTCTTTGCCACAACTTAAATGAGTGAATAGTGTAAAAAAAAAAAAAACCAAACCAGGACACTTAAAAATAATTGATCATAATACTCGTAAGTAATGACCTTCACGAGTAATTATTTATGAATAATTAAAGATATTAATGGTGAGCCGATACATATACAAGATTCTAAAAAAAACTGAAAAGCGATGAAAAATCTGAGTGGGCCTTTGTTGCACTTGCCGCAGCTGTACTAAAAAAAGTGAGGCTACCACTCCACTACAATAATATAAGATTCCCCGTTAAAAAGGACCGAAATGAGCAACCTCATCATCACTTTCTTTCACTCACTTGTAGTCGTCTTGAAAGTGTGTTGAGAGAGCGTGGAGTTTCTCCAACTTCTCCGCCGCCTCTTATCCGCTTCTTTACCCCTTTAAAATTATTTTTATAAAATGGGGGTTGAAGCTAAGGTTGAAGCAGACCCTATTTTGAATGGAAATTCGATTGAAATTGGTAATTTTCCAGTGGTTTTGGGTCTTCAACCCTCTGCTCTTGTTGATCATGTTGCCAGGGTTGATTGGTCTTTGCTCAATCATTGTTCCGGTGAAATGGGTGGCTCTATTCCGGTAATTCTATCATAAAAATCCCATCTTTTTATTGAATTACGAAGAATTGGATTGTATTTGAAATTTGTTTTTGTGTATGTTGCAAATATATATAGTGTCCTCGTCCCAGTTTACTTGCCCCATATCGGCTTGTATGGAATTTTAAGCAAGCGTAGAAGTACAGAGTAAGCATGTTTGGAAGAATTTGAGACCCAATTCAATAGAAAAAGTTTATGGGGCTTGGGATTGTTATAAAAAATGACAATTCACATAATTGGTGATGAATATAAGGTTTCATGTTTTTTTAATGGTGATAAATTATTAGTAATATAAGCTTGTGTTAAGTTGTTGCAATGTTTTCCCTGCTATGCTTGAATCCAATAAGACTTTTATTTGCTTAATGTCTTTTTAATTGTAATTAGGTTGCTTTTGCGGATGTAGAACGCATACTTACTGAGGTCAAAACCCATATATCCCTAACCCAAGATGACTTATCTCCTATGAAGACCCTTGGTGGTGGTAGTGTAGCGAATACGATTCGAGGTTTGTCTGCGTGCTTCGGTGTGGCTTCCGGTCTTGTTGGTGCTTGTGGTGATGATGAAGAAGGGCAGTTGTTTATGCATAACATGAATTCTAAAGATGTTGATCTGTCAAGATTGAGAACAAAGAAGGGAGCCACTGCCCAAGTGAGATTTACAAATGTTCTGACACTTGGAGTAATCCTACTCTACATATTTTTTGTAGCCTGTATCTGAATTGTATCTCTTGTGCACTACAGTGTGTCTGTTTGGTTGATGCAGTTGGAAATCGCACGATGCGACCATGCCTTTCTGAGGCTGTTAGACTTAAGGTGCTTGATTTTTCTCATTCTGTAATAGTGTTTGTGATGCTATTTGGAGTCCTTTGTTTATGCTATTTGATTTAAAAAGAGCACTAACTGAGTAACTGTGATATTTAACCATGCTGACTTATGTGAATGAGCTAACATATCCTCTTTCCTCATTTTTTATCTCTTTCAGGCTGATGAGTTGATTGAAGATAACTTCAGAGGATCCAAGGTAGTAACCTTTATTTTCTGAACTGTTTCATAAGTTTTCATTTGCTGACTTAGAAAGTGTAACGTGTTAGCTAGCCAATTTTACAATGTAATTTATTTTATTTTATTTTTTTCTATATTTTTAAGCAAATCAACAAATATACTTGTATATAATAGAGACTTGGGGGTGTTAGCAATATTTCCGACTCCCCATCCCTTAAGGCAAGGACAAATAAGTTTATCAGAAATTGGCTGATGTTGCAGAGAGATTTTTTTTTTTGGGCTAGTAGATTGAGCAATTCACTAAGCTATCTGTTTTTTCCCTTCAGTGGTTGGTTATGAGATTTGCAGCGATTAATTTGGAACTTATACATGCTGCTGTTAAGATAGCAAAACGGGATGGGCTTCTTGTCTCCTTGGACTTAGCCAGTTTTGAGGTATATAACTCTATTTTTTCCCTTTGCTTTCTTGTTTGACTTCTTCTATTCGCAATCTTTGCTAACACCTCCAGGCTCTTCATTTTAAATAATTTGTTAAAACCCTTTGACAGATGGTGCGAAGCCATAAGTCAGCTTTGATAGAACTGCTTGAGTCTGGAGATATTGATCTTTGCTTTGCCAATGAAGATGAAGCAATGGAGGTTCTGAGGTAATCAATAAAATCAATATCTTCCTTACAATATGTCAGTATGTATGACATGTTGCTAGTTGCTATTTTATGAACCTGTGTAGAGCTAGACAGCTAGTTGAGTGAATTAGTAAAAATTTTCTTTTCTCTGAAAACATAAACTTTGCTGTGACATTGAAAGTGTAGACCTCTATTGCAATGGATCTGAATGCTTCCCTGAAACCACTAAGTTTTGGGGTCTGACATACGAGGAGATGTGACATACGAGTAGATGATTTTTCCTTGATTCAAAGTTCATAAACATAATTATATTCATAAAGGACAACATTCATTTTAAAAGCAGATTTGTATATATTTCTTGATAAATTATCCTTTGGATTCATCTATTGTGGGTGTGTGGATCAGATCTTTAGAATCGTCAATGAGTTAAGTAATAGACTGATTATGGTTAACATTGGTGTAGGAATCTCTTATTGAGATCAGAAAGTAATGGAACACTGGAACCTAGATTGTTAAATTGGTAGTATGTATGCAGTAATATGCATGTATCAAAAGTGAAATCCCAGCTTCAAGGAGAGTTTTGCTAGGAGGAAGATACTCTAGAATTTCATTCAAATCTTATTTCATCATTTGCGTGAATTTTACTGATGATAAATCCATGGTGTTGAACCTATCTCATTATGCTATTATTAAGGCTTGGTAGGTTCGGTTTCATCAGCTGTTTTCCATAGTTAATACTGATCATGTATTTATGACTGAAAATCTGGTGGTCTATAAACATTTAAAGCATCATATTGTTTCCCATGGCTGTAGGGGCAAGCAAGATACAAGTCCTGAAGTTGCTCTTGATTATCTGGCCACACATTGCCAATGGGCTGTTGTAACGCTTGGCTCTAAGGGTTGCATTGCTAAGCATGGGAAGGAGGTCTGTTGGGTCTACTCAGATAGAATGGTGCATCATGAATTTTATGTCTTGCCTCTTTAGCATACTTGCTTCATGACATCAACCTTCTCATGTCAACCAATTATTAGTAAGCACTAAATATCTAACTTGATAAATTGACAACTGGTTGTTTCCCTCATGCAGACAGTGAAAATCTCAGCCATAGGGGAAGCACATCAATGCGATACCACAGGAGCCGGTGATCTCTTTGCCAGTGGGTTCATATATGGCTTGATAAAGGGTCTATCCCTAGGAGATTGCTGCAAAGTGGGTTCTTGTAGCGGTGGGTCTGTCATTCGTTCACTTGGGGGTGAGGTAACTCCAGACAACCGTCAATGGATGTACAAGCAGATGCAAATCAAGGACCTTCCCGTTCCCAAAGTCTACGTATGATGCTTTCTATTAGTCATGTCAGCTCGCTCCCATTGGGAAGTAACACGTGAAGAGGTAACATACTGTGAGTCTTAGTGTCTTACAGATCCTATGTTGAATCAGCAAATTACACCCCTTCTAATGATTACTTAGATTAGCGCTTATAAGACCGAGGCCAATTCTGTGATATTGTAAACTCTGATCCTGATTATGAGAGTAAAAGTTGTCGATTCAATGCAAGCATTATTCCTTTGGTAGCTGGGGCAAAAGATTCACCCATTAATAAATGAAAATTTTCCATTTTTGTCATCCTTTTCCCATCAAATAATGCGTGCTTAACCTCACAATTTGACAATCTGATATGTATTTTGTGTGAATGGGCAAAAGCTTGCAAATGGGTTGGGCCTATAAAACTTAACTGTGTTTATATTTTCATCATATTGGGCTTATGTATAGTTGTACTTGTACATACAACTTAAATCTGTTTACATATGCTTCATTATGGACCTGCATTGGCCCTAATATTCGTTTCTTCTGCGGGTGTATTTTTCTGCTCATTTAATATTCTTTGTTTTTCTAAATTTAAAATCAAGTCGTATGAATTCTGTGTTAGTCACATTTGTCTTTGATGCGGTTGTACTCCGAATTTCTGTAAAACTGTTTGTGATACTGTAAAATTTAAGTGTTTCGTTACGATAAGCACAAATTACATGTGATTTTCCTCCAGGAGGTCACCGACCCGCCGCTGCAATGAAAATGATTTAACAACACTAGAGCCAATTCAAAGGATCTTAGTAAGATCCATAGACTTTTTGTAAATAATTCTTGTGTATAAAAATATTAATCAAGATCTACGTTCTTAGACCACTTCTTCTCTAAGATGTAAGAATGTAATTATATGAAACTACTCATTACTAGAACTCTATGAAGACACACAACCCTTTTTTTTCTCTCTCTTAGCACTAATACGGTTCTTGTAATGAATGTCCATGGACACTTGTTTTTAAAAAAACTACTCGTAGTTTTAATGAGATATTGACATATATTACACGTCTGGAATTTTCATAAGGTCTCGGAAACGATGATTTTTATTGTACAATTAGTTGTATGGATTATATAAAGTTTATATAGTGTGTGAAAGCTTTGGTCATGAGACTCACGTCTTATGGCAATGAATTGTTTATCCACCAAAAAATACTCTGTAATATGTTAACCCATCAAACACATAGGTGGCAAATAACAGTTATGGTAGTCCCAAATTTAAAAAATTACTAAGTGTTGACCTTAGAAATTAGGAACTCCGTTTCAAGTTTCAACACAATGCCACCTATATATATGACCAATATATATCCGGTTCATAAGTTAAGGCAAAGCATAGAAAAGAAATCACAAGTATTAGCAACAAATAATGGAGGTATCTTGGATCTTGTCATTTTTACTGTTGATTATTTCCTTCACCATATTTTTGAACCTTTACAAGAAACAAAAAACACCTACAAACTTACCTCCAGGTCCTCCAAAGTTACCCTTAATAAGCAACCTCCACCAACTTGCATCCAAGAACACCCTCCCACACCGCCGTCTAGCCGAGCTAGCGGCGGTGAATGGCCCTATCATGCACCTTAAGCTAGGAGAAGTTTCAACCGTTGTAACAGAGGCGGAGCCAGCCCGGAACAAGGGGGGACAGTTGTCCCCCCCACTTTAAAAAAATTAAATATTATTTCATGCTATAATAAATATAGTGGTAAAGTGCTTTTGGAGTGGGTTGCTCAACCCGGGATCAATACTTTCCATGCAGCTTTTTACTTTATTTTTATTTTATCTTTTTTTTTGGAAGGTTAATTTACCTTATTTTTTAGTTACAGCATTTTACGTTTTCATTTTCTGTAATTTTTTGTTTACTTTTTTTATTTTACCTTTTTTTTAGGTAAACCAATTTTACTTTTTTGCTTTCTTTAATTTTTTGTATATATGAGATATGTCTAAGACAATTTGCCTTCCATTATTTTTTACAATAAAGTATATTTATAATAAGGAACAATGATAAGTGCATTTAATTACCTATATTATCTTATGTTCAAATTTGTCAAAAATTCAAACCCATATGTAAATTTTTTATAGACCCTTTGGTATTTAAATACTACTACCTCCGTCTCCGAAAGAACGACTCATTTGGCCTAATTTTAGTCCCAAAAGAATGACCCATTTGGCCTAATTTATGTCCCAAAAGAATGACCCATTTGCATTAAAACACTCACCAATTTGCAATAATATTTGTGCAAAATTAGCTTCCCCATATAAAAATTTGATTTTCCATGTAATTTTATTACTTTCTCTCTCTATTTTTTTTACAAACCCTATCTAAATTTATTTTTTCAATATACTTTTACTTCTTTTTATTTAACTTTCCTAATATACCCGCATAATCAACCCAAATGGGTCGTTCTTTCGGGGACGGAGGGAGTAATTATGTACCATCATAGGAGGAATAATTAGTTTATGATGTTAGATTCTTTAATAAGTATTTTGGATGTTGTGAAACTTTAATTCTTTAACTTTTTTTTTTGACAGAATTGTTTAACTAATTATGTATTCAAGTATTGTTTTTTTTTTCAACATATATTTTTGTCAAACTATGCGACGTTCATTTGTCCCCCCGGATGGAAATTCGTGGCTCCGCCACTGCGTTGTCATATCATCACCCGGGATGGCGAAGGAGGTGCTGAAAACTCATGATGCGGTGCTTTGTGATAGGCCAAAGTTGTTGATGCCCCAAGTTGTGTTCTACAAAAGCACTGATATTGCACTAGCCCCTTACGGTGAGTACTGGCGCCAAGTCCGCAAAATCGCAACCCTCGAGCTCTTTACTGCCCGCCGTGTTCAAGGCTTTCGCTGCTTCAGAGAAGACGCTGTTCTCGATTTTGTCAAGCTATTACTTGCTGAGGCGGATGCAGCAGGGTCTGTCATCAACCTCACTAGTAAAATTTTCGCCCTCAGCTTTGACATCACCTTAAGGTACACATACTTTGAAATCACGGTCTGTATATACTCCCTCCGTTTCATAATAATCGCAACACTTTAACTTTTGCGCTATTCATATGCTTATTTTGACCATGCATTTTACCAATACATGAAAAACATATATTACCATGTAAATAATTTTGTATTATTTTTTAAGTAAAGTGTTTATTATATTAACCTTTCTTAATGACATACAATTACAAATATTGATGGTCAAAGTTATACTTCGTACATTGTGTTAGTTGAGACGATTAATACAAGAGGAGGGTGAATTGTATAGAGTTCCTAATGACTACTTTTTGCGGATAAATAAAGAATGCGTATAGGAACTTAAGAAAACACACAGATTTTACGAGGAAACCTTCCAGGGCCCAACTGGAAGTAAAAACCTCGACCCTACCTTAGGGATTTCAAACACAAAACACTTCACTATAATAGGGCAAACACCAAGTTACAACCTATTAGATACAGACCTTTATTTCACAAGTTCCTCACTGAACTTGCTACTTGATAGGACCCTATCCTACCCAATCTAAGCACCACACCTAGATTCACTCGTACCACCAAAGTACAACTCGTACTGCCAAAGCACAAAACACTCGTACCACCCCAGTACAAAACTCACAGCCTCACCAAGAAGTTAACACAAAACTGTATGTAATACAAACTATAAATATCACCCAAATAACCCAACCAATACAAATATAAGACGCCTATTATGATAGGTAAGCAATTCACGAAATCCGAAACTAATATGATAAGTTAAAAGCTTGGTAAACTTACTCAATTAAAGCACTGTGATTTCTCCATGCATAAACTCACAAAAACCTAATTCATTTTGTTCTCTACTATTTATACAAGTAACACTTGTATAGAAAGTAGGTTTTCTAAAAAGATAAATATGTTAACTTAACTTATCTTTTAAACACGGTTTTAGCAAATCAAGTGAAATAAAATCTTTTCCGAAAATAAGTATAAAAAGATAACTTAACCGACTTTAGAGAAAAATAATCTTTTTAGAAAATATTTTCCTAAAATCTATCTTTTATTATTTTCTATATTTATTTTATTTACCAAGCAAACTTATCATGTTTCTAATAAATTTCGTGCGCTAACCTACTTACCATATTAACAATAATTTCTAAGAATAAAACCTTAACTATTATTGTTGCGCTGCACTCTGATCAGGTAAATTACTTGGGCTCCAAGCATATCAAGTTCCTCCAAAGAACTTAACTGCCAGTCTTCAAGTTCCTGTTAGGGAACGTTCCTGTTAGGGAACTTAGCTCTTGTTAGAGAACTCTTCCTCTGATTTGTTTAACTTCTTCAATAAAGATCTTCTTCATGTCTTCTTAGATTCAGATGGTTCTTCAATCACCAAGATTATTCTGCACCTTGACTAATCACACACTAGAGAATCTTTATTAGTTGAGTTTGCTTTTAGTTCAAGTTCCTCATCATCAAAACCATTATGCTTCAACACATTGGTTTGTATATCAGTCAAATTGTTGCGATTATTATGAAATGGAGGGAGTATCTAACAAGATCACACGTGACATGTATTCACTTCAATCTGTAAACCACATAACACGTTCAAAGTTTACTTAGTTTGACCACATAGATAGTATAGTTGAATTATTGGTTCGTTTAAACGTACACTAGGTTAGCTGTGAATAAGAAAGCAGATGACGGAGAAGAATTCAGAAAGCTAGTAGCAGATATGGCAGCATTACTCTCCGGCTTTTCGATCGGGGACTTATATCCGTCGATCGAGTTCATAAGTGTGGTTTCTGGTATGAAAAGGAAACTGAAAGATATAGTAAGGAGAGTTGACAATATAATGGATCCCATTATAGAGGAGCATTTGTGTAACAAGAGACTAGGACAAAACGAGGGTGACGAAGACATTGTTGATATTCTACTACAATTTCATAATGATGATCTAAAACGTCGTACAAATGATCAATTTTCGCTCACCACTGATAATATCAAGGCTATTATTATTGTAAGTTGATCGATACTTAATTAATAATCTATAGCTTTAATCAATTTATTTATGTTTAACACGCGTTTAATTTATATGGTTTAATTATAATAGGAGGTGTTTGGTGCTGGAGGAGAGACATCATCTACGACAATAGATTGGGCAATGTCCGAGTTGTTAAAGAACCCTAGAGTAATGAAAAAGGCACAAAATGAGGTGAGACGAGTTTTTCAAGGAAAAGAAATAATGATCGACGAGGCAAGTCTAGACAGACTGGTGTACTTGAAACATGTAATC